CCTGGTGATAGCGTAGGGAAGTGAGTCATCTGAAAAAATGAAATATCCACAACTAGAATAGAATCCCTGGCTTCTCAAGACCTAGAGTAGGGGTCCTCACACTTTGTAAACAGGGAGCCAGTTCACTGCCCCTCAGACCCATTGGAGAGCCAGACTATAGTTTTAAAAAAACTATGAACAAATTCCTATGCACACTGCACATATCTTACTTTGAAGTGAAAAAACAAAGGGGGCAAAAACACCCGGCGGGCCAGATAAATGTCCTCGGTGGGTCACATGTGGCCCGCGGGCTGTAGTTTGAGGATGCCTGACCTAGAGAAAGAGAGCAGTTTTTCTAAAGAAAGCTATACCAGAGATGCAATCTTGCCCATAGTCCAGATTATATTTCATGTTTTAGCATATATGGTATTATATTAGTAGGTACATGATTATAGAAGCATATATAGATTTTAAATCTATTGCCTTTGAATTAGTTCTGACTTACAGTAACTCTCTCTTTAGGGTTTACGAGGCTGTATATATTTACGGAAGCAGAAAGCTTCATCTTTCTCCCATGGAGTGGCTAGTGGATTTGAACTGCTGATCTTGCAACTAGCAGTCCAACAGTTAACCTGACAGCACCACCGGAACCCCGCATTACATATATAGATATTATTAGTATCTTAGGTAGTGTGGTGACTACTGCGTGGTTGTGTGATCTGCGTGGTTGGCAGTTTGGAACCAATAGCAGCTCCTCGGGAGAAAGACTGGGTTTTCCACTCCCATAAACCGACTTGGAAGCTCACAGGGGGATCGTTGACAGTCACCATTGACTTGATGGCAGCGAGTTTGGTTTGGAGGATGTACAGAATATTCAAAATGGGAAAAAGAGCAAGCCCCTTGACAAGATGGATTGAGACGATGGCTGTATCAATGGGCTTCGACCGTAGAGCGGTTGTGGGGCCATTCTGTTGTACAGAGGGGCATTCTGAGTGGGCACTGACACAATGGCACCTGACAAGTATAGGGTGAGAAAGGTGAAGTGACCCTTCCTCTGCAAAGACTCACGGCCCCCGAAACTCTACGTAGGATCACTCGGAGTCAGAATTGACTCTTAGGACAGTGGGCTTCGGGGGGAATATCTAGTACAGGAGCCCAGGTGACATAGTGCTTAAGGGCTCAGCTGGGGGACTGAAAGGCTGCTCATTGGAACTCACCATCTCTCGTCTTTCTTTGGTGTTTGAGATGAACTCAAGTCTCCAAGTCCATTTCAGTTTTACCTGCCCCCCCCCCCTGCTTTTGAGGCACCAGACCACTGTTTAGGTTTGAGGGATAAGGAATCTGGTGGGATTTTTTAAAACAACACACTATTTATTTGTATACAGCCCATCTCAAGACATGAAATCAATAACAGTATCCCGTTAAACCGTCCATGTATGTGGTTTTCTTTTTACAATCCCCCGTTCTACTTCCCTTCTGCTAGAGGGTGAACAATGTGGCCCACGGCTTCTGCAAAGAGTTCTAACCTCCTAAACTCCATTGAGCCGTTCTCCGCACCCGGTGGGATCACAATGAACTGGACTTGACTCGCTGGCAGTGGGTTTGGCTTTGGGTGTGTAGCGTCATGTTATCTGAATTGGAAAGATGACTGATTATGTGGAATGACGATGTAGCCGTTTTCCTCGGTCAGACTAGAGGGGACGAAGCCAATTCTTTTCTCTCTCTCTCCCTCTATTTCTCTTTTTTGTTTGAGAGTTCAACATCAACAACCATCTGCAACTTTTTACTTAACCTAAACTGTTTATTGTGAATTAGGCGAAGCTTGACTGAGCAGATCCCCAGTTTTACAATCACCATTTCATACACATTTTGTTTCAACTCATCCATTGCAATCCTTTCAATGTAACATCCTTTATCCCAATTGCCCCATTTAAATCCCTCCTTCTTTTCTAACCCTCTGAAAGTTATCCTTGGGCAAATGTTGCCCTTTTCTTATATATATATAATATATAATTAATAAAAATAAATAGTACATATAAATATATAATTAATAAAAAAGGAAATAAATTATACACACACTAACACGGGGGTGATTGCAGTTCCAGACCTGAAGGTGAGTAAGAGCCACAGTCTCAGGGTTCCCACCAGTCCCTACATGACCAGTAAGCCCGGCCTCTTCTGCTTTTGAGTTCTGGTCCACAATTATCCAGAACTGGTTGATGCAATCCTTTCCGGAGCAGTTGGCAGGAGTAGCTGGATACCATCTAATATCGGAAACTCTTAACTTGTCTCTTGATGAACCTCAGGAGGCCTTTTGTCCTCAGAGAAGTTGGTTGGGCGCGTACCCTGTCACACTTGATCTCGTTACAAAGATAGGACAAAAATCTAAGTTGTTAAACTTCTAAGTCAAGTGTTCTTTTGGTTACACTATCTTGTCCATGAGCTTTTAAAAAAATGACCTAGCAGAAGCATGGAAAAGTGAATGAGAGGATCATTCATTTCATACCTAGCATGGGCTCGTCTTCATCTTGGACAAGATAATATTTTTTTAATTTTAAAGCACAGTGGAGCAGATTTCTACTAGAATCATACAGGTTACCAGGTTACTGAAATCAAATAGCACAACTGTGGGGCTTCCAGAATTTTGAGGAGCCATGAAGGCATAGTGATTACGTCTTACTGCAAGATCAGTAGTTCAAAATCACCAGCCGCTCCATGGGGAAAAGATGGGGCTTTCTACTTCTATAAAGGGTTACAGTCTGAGAAAGTCGCAAGGGCAGTTTCCCTTTGTCCAAGAGGATTGCTATCCGTCGGCATTGACTCCATGATGGTGATTCTTTAGTTTTCCAATGGTTTGGGGGAAACTAGAATGAAAAGAGAACAGAATTTCCCCATGTCTTTTTGAAGTCTCCTTGTGTATGTTTGCTTATTCAAAAGCATTCACCTTTCTTAAATAATATTGATTCTCTTCATTTGCTAGCTAAAGTAGGCAGATATCAGTATAATCATCTTGTAGGTGGAAATTAGTTAGCTATACCTACTTTGTGAAGGTTATTTGACATAGCCAAGGTCCCACAGCTAAGTAATTTAAAAAGCCAGAGCACGAGAGGAAATTTCATGAAATTCAGATAGTGCTTTTTTCCATTTGCTGTCTTCCATTATTTTCAAATGATTTGTGCATAGAGAAAGAAATTCAATCTTTTAAGAAAAGGGTAAAGTCCTTTTGGACTGGATACATCTGCTCTCCATAGTCTACTGAACTCCATCAATGCAGCTAATGAAGGAAAAGCTATTTATCTCGTACTGGCCTTGTAGGATCAGTCCTTGGGCTTGGTGAGCGAACCCCAGCTTATGCCAATAATTGATTCTTTTGTACTAAACATAGCACTTGTTACAATAAAACATTTTTTATTACCCAGCTTTCTTCTTTTGGCCAAACACTTGTACTGGTCTGATTTAATTAATTTTCATTGAGTGCCTATTTGGCTGGCCTATGGCCTCAATTTCTTGGTAGAGTTTTGGTTTTGTTAACCAAGTAGGTTGCTTGGAACGGAGGTTGTTTTTTCATAAAAGACCAATAAATGATTAGTTTCATAATCCTATGGATTTTGGGCCAGCAGGGGGGTGAGGATTTGTTTTTTTGCCCCCTCCCCCACCCCACCAATGCTCTCTCAGCAGGTAACCATGAACCACCACACTCAGTAAATAACTCGAAGTTCAGGTTCTCTTTATTCTCATAATTTCCCAGGTGTGATGGTGATGGAGAAAATGGGAATCAAGTGCTAATGACCTATAACTATCTATAGGTTGTTTGGGGTGTGCCTTTTCTTTATAAAAAAGATATGTTTCTGCTTGTGGTATAGTTTCTAACCAAACCCAAGACCACCTTGGTGTTCTCAACCCCATCTAGGTGTTAGGCACTGTTCACAGTATAGCAGTATGTGTTGAATACAAACTAATATTAAGAGGACCAGTTGGCACTCAGAGAAGGTTCTTGGTGAAAATCGCCATTGTATCCATAAACGTGATTGCCTATGGTGTATCCTTTCAAATGTGTGTCCGTGCAATCTTTGTGTAATTCATTTCGAAGACCGGGTAGAATCCCAAATGAAATTTTGTGATTGGATTATATTTTGCCACTGAGGAAAGGTGATGAGGTTTGTTTCTAATTCATGCCTTTGGGGGGGATTTTCAGTTGGCAGAGAATTCTATCCGTCTTAGAAAGTTGCCGTGCTATGCTCTTTTGAGTTTATCATCAGGAGAGAATTGTACCAATTATCATCTTTCTCAAGGCTCAAAAAAATAATAATTTAATCATAAAACTCAGACAAGGCAAGTATAAGACTCCCAAGCTAGAAACCACCCCGATGGCCACTAGTCACGGGACTGTGGTACTCCGAGAGCAGCAAACTGGGCAACAGAGGAAAGGAGCTGCGTGCGGCTCTCATGCAGATAACGTTGGGCAACGTTCATGTCTTGGGTTGGGTGCTGGGGCCACATATGTATTCCTTGGTGAAAATTCAACTAGCTGTACAGTTGTATATACTTTTCTGTTTAGTCATTTGAAATAAAAAATGATTAAAATTCTAAAAATGATTTAAAAACTGGAGAGGAAAAACAACAGAATCCAATCCCAAATGGAAATTTAAGTCAGAGACCAGGATGGGGGACGGGGTAGAAGGGAGGAAAAAAACCCAAAAACTACCAAGACCACCTTCACAAAGATTCTTAGCATTCCACCTTAAAAACCAAACTGCGCCTCCAAAGAGCTAGCCAGTCCCACAAAGACTGCACAAAGCTCCTGGAGGGGAGTCGATCTTTTCATAGGACTTGCCAGATCTTGGGGAGCTGTCCAGCACACGCCAACCCTGGCGCTTCTATCAGGCCAACTAACGGGGACTGTGTCAACTCTGAATCACCATGAGCCGCAGGGAAGGATCTGTCAGCTGACTAATCAGGGAGAGTGGTGGTGGTTGGTTTTTTTTTTTTTTTTTGCAGCGCTTCCACTGTGATGATGGAAGCAGTTAACGGTAGCTTTTTTGGATAGAGGTTTTTGGCTGCTGTTTTAAGCATCCTACCCAAGAAGCAGCTCATATTTCATCAATGTTGCATTGACAGTCGGAACAGAAGAGTATAATTGTGTCTAGGCGAGATGGCAGAAGCAAGTCCCCGGAGAGGCAAGATGAGGTTCAGAAGGAATGCGGTAAGGGCTCTGCCTGCAGTCCTGCTTGGAAAGCCTAGCCCCAATTCCAGTGCAGGGATGCTGCAGCTCTGGTGCCACAGCACAGACTGCTCCATGGGGCGGTTTGGGACAGGTGATGAGGTCGGAGATGTGGGATTTGCATGGATTGCGTTGATGTGATGACTGGGACCTTGACACAAGGGAATTTGAAGGAGTCCAGGAGTTGAAATATAATTTCGAAATCGATAGCACCAATAGTCATGCGACTTAATTCAGATGATGGACATTTTGAATCCTTGGGCAAACTAGCTTTAAATCTCGAGTTCAAATAATACCCCACCCAGGAATCGATCCTCTCGTTCACCAGACTCAAGTAGAGTATGATATCGTGGGCAGGTCTGGAGACTTTTTTTTTTAACAGCATAGGAAAAGGCCACGCTTCTTGAGCGTTACTGGGCAAGTGAAATTACAAAACAAAAACAAAAAAGGGAAAAGTTTTGAAATCGTTGTGTTCCAATGTTTCTCCAAACTCAAACTTTAAACATTAAAAATGTTCGTTTATTGGCCACATTATTGGGGTGGGGTGGGGGGCGTGGAAGAGGAAAATACAAGTGATAACTTCACAATAGAGGCTAGAATTAGGAATTTCTCCTCTGATATACATTGGGAGCATTCTTCTAACCCAATTTTCCCCTTCAAGTCCAAATTTCCCAATAAATGTGTTAAGGGGTATGTATCTGTAGATGCATGTTGGAGATAGGGTGACATGGCACTCCCTCATGTAGCTTTAAATGCTACTCCCCCCCCCAAAAAAAACCCCACCAAACTTAAAATAGTTTTTTTACTTTTGAAATATAATAATTGCTTACTAAAAAATCTAGATAACACAGAAAGGAGTAAAAAAGAACAAGAAGAATCAGTGACAGTTTGAGTCCAAAGTAAGAGAAGACAAAAAGCCCAGTAGAAATTTTATTCTAGCAGAATAGTTGTGAACTTTAATGGGTGCGTAAATAATTTATATGCTAACAAAACTCTTAGCTCAGAATATTTTCAAAAATGACAGCTGGAACGTGATCTTTTTAAGTTTGAGAGAATTATACCTTCAGCTTGACACATATTATAAGAGAAAGAACTTCAGACTGAACAATTTTGGGTGCAGAAGGAACAATTTCCTGTGCAACTGACATTAGCTCTTTTGTTATCAAAGGTTGCTTATTTAAGCTTTCAGAACTATCTTAATGCTTTCTATGTGTAGATTTTTTTTAGATCTGAGACTACTTTCATGTCTAGTGTTTACACATTAATACATACAGAAATAACTATAGCACATAGGTACCTGTTGAATAGACTGTTCTAACATATGGCTAGACACAGTCCAGGTGTCAAAGCTAAAGAAGGGGAATGGCCAATGGGCAAAAGGAGCTCTCAATCTACCAGAGGGAAGGCTTCATAATGAGTGGACTACTTAAGTAAGGCCATTGCTCCGGTTATCTTTCCTTGTTGCCATTTTTTCTTAAGAAAAATGAATCGTCCTGAGTGACCCCTAGGAACAGGTACTTAGAAACAAGAGGGATTGAATGAAGCCTGAAACCTAGGACAATGGTAGAAAACTGGTTTTTTTTCTTCTACATGGACAGGGGATCCCCAGAGTGAAAAATGTGAATTTGGGTTGGCAATCAATGCCATAGTTTGATCTTGGACAGTCTCTGGCATCGAGCTGATTCTAGAAGCTATGATAGCAGCACCTCAAAGGATGGTGCAGTGCGTGCAAAGTCCAAAGACAGGATGGCGCTGCTTAGGTGGTGGACGTAGGTAGTGGAGGAAGGTGGCCAAAGGAGCAGCAAAGGAGGAGAATGTCAACCTCCCAAGGAAGGAGTGGTGCGCGAGACTGCCGCCCTGAGAAATGAGGACTTGGGGTTGGGGAGTGGGGGAGAACACCGAAGTGACTCATGCCATTGGAAGCTATCTTTTCTAGTTTGGGGTCATGAGCTACTCCCCAGCTTATTGTGAAGAGGTGAGTCAGACCTCATCAAGGTCAATCCTAGGCCATCCCAAAATTATGTTCAGTAGACTCAAGGATGTGAAATTGTTACCACTATTTTGTTTTGACTCATAGTGTTTGTCCCATTTTGTAGAAGTCAAGGGCATGTCACGGCTAAATGCTAAATCGCATGTCTGAGTTGGTGGTCAACTCATTCAGGGTGAAGTACTAGAGGGATTAGGAAAGAACTTGCCCTTCAGAGCCAGATAGACCTGGGTGCAGGCGGAACCTTGGCCACCTGCCCCTCACTGTCCTTCAGTGTGCGCATCAGGAAAATGACAATAGTGCCTACCTCGATGCAGTCTTGTGAAGCCTGGCACAGGTGTAGTGGGCTCTGGTAAAGTACCCCCATTCCAGGAAGACTAGCGTAAGTCATTTTTTATTGTATGCAATAAAACTGATGCTGTCTAAAGCAACTGCCATTGAGTAGAACTGCGCTCCATAGCAGTTTCCATGGTACAGTTTTCAGAAGTAGATCGCCAGGCCTTTCTTCTGAGGTGCCTCAGGGGACTGGAGCCTCCATCCTTTCAGTTAGCCAAGTCCATTAACTGTTTGCCCTACTCAGGGGCTCCTCTGTGTTGTAGCAAACCTTCAAATACCAGGTTTGCAGCCGGAATGAAATAACCTGCTTGTCTCAGAGGTGGGCAGTCTTGGAAACCCTGAGAGGTGTTTCTCTCTTGCCCTACAGGGTCGCTGTGAGTCAGAATGCACTCCATGGCTGTGAGCTTGATTTTGATTTGAGGATAATAGCGTAAAGCATATTGGGTGGCTAGCCTCCCAACTCTTCTGTCTGCTCTACTTTTGTCCAAATCCAATCCCTTCCCCACAAAGTAACCCGAGTGATCATTCTAAAAAGGCAAATCTGAAATGGTGCTCTGCGGTGGTCAACCTTTTTAGAGACTCCCCTTCCCTCCAAGAGAAAATCCAAACATCTTAGCAGGACAGGCATGCTCCTTTGTTATTTGGTTTTTGTTCATCTTTCAGGCACCACCCGCCAGCTTCCTTTCCCTCTAGCTTTTGGACTGAGACCTTTTCTCCTGAGCTCTCTAATACTGCTACTAAGAATGAGGAAGATCTTAAATCTAGGTACCCCCAGCTGGGACAAGTTATATTTAATCTTTTTGATCCTTACAGAAGGGTCTTGGGGAGAAGAGGGGCCAGTCAGGGTGCAGTATAGTACTGATGAAACATACAGCTTTCCTCTGTTTCTTTAATGCTTCCTCGCACCACTATCATGACCCTAACTCTACCTTAGAAATCTGGCTATACCAGAGCATGTACACAGGTACAGATCAGAGCTGGAAACACAGGACAGATAAACCCCCCAGGACCAATATTAAGAGTAGCTATATCAGGAGGGGAAGGGGAAGGTGGAGGGAGAAAAGGGGGACCGATTACAATGACCTACCTATAACCCACTTCCCAGAGAAATGAATAAGAGACAAGGGGGTAAAAGGAAGACACTGGACAGTGCAAGATATGAAAAAATAATAATAGTTTATAAATTACCAAGGGTTCATGAGGGAGGGCTGGGGAAGGAGGGGCGGGGATGAGGAACTGATTCCAAGGGTTCAAGTAGAAAGAAAATGCTTTGAAAATGATGATGGCAACATATGTACAAATGTGCTTGACACAATGGATGGATGGATGGATTGTGATAAGAGTTGTATGATCCCCTAATAAAATGATTTAAAACATTTTTGCAACAACTTTCATAGGCTTGCTATGAAGAGGACCTATGATAATGTTGACAAAAATATTTAGTTTGCTGTAAACATTTGGCATGTGGTGGTAGTTTATTAATAACAGCCCATTCCTCACTGAGGTTTGCGTGGTTTTATTTTGACTTCTTTCATCCAGTCATTATTTCCTAACCAGCTAGTTCCAGGGATTGGTATAGACCCTGGGGAGGCATTGGCAAACTAGAGTGGCATTCTGACCCAGTTAATTTCTCCCTTTTTGACCTCATGAGACCCAGGCCTCTTATCCTAATGCCTTTGTTTATTGATCCCTGAGGGACTCTGCTATTAAATAGTGGTTGTTATTTGCTGTTGAGGCAACTGTAATCTCATGGGGACCAAATGTATTACAGAAGGAAGCATGGCTCTGTCCTGTGCCAGCCTTCTGAGTAACCTGTTGAGGAGCCCTTGTAGGATTTATTAATCTGTGTACACTCAATGCCTGATAGTAATTCACTTAAATACACGGAAGAGGCACATGGAAGATCCTCAGTGAATCGGGCTTGGATGAAAACAAAGACATGCTTTATAATCGTTTTCTCCCCCACCCCCTTGTGGTTTAGGGCAAGCATTTCATTCAGCTCCCTTTCAGCTTTGACGGCGATTGTAGGAAACTCCCTTCTAATTCTATCCCTCCACTCCCACCCCAGGAAAAAGATGCAGTTTAAGTTCAAGGAAAACAGCTTTAAAACTTGTGCAGCTTGAGAAGATTCCCTACAGAAGCTTTGCAAGCGTTTGACCTGCATGACCTGAGATGATTTTCCTGGCTATTTCCATGTTTTGAGAGCTTATCAATACCCATTTTCAATGTGTTGGCCTGCTGTGGACATTAGGGCCTTACATTTTGTTCCTTTCATTGCATATGTTCTGATCTGTGCTCAGTTGAATGCGTGTTTGGAGCAGTGATTTCCCATCTTCCTTTCTACAGGTTTCCTTCCCTGGGAACTTGCACTTGATCTTGGTTCTCCGGCCCACCGGTTTTCTTCAACGAACGTTCACTGGCATTGGCTTTCGATTCAACCAGGATGATTTCATGATGAAATTGCCAGTAAGAGTTCATTATTGAAATGCTTGGTCCCTTTGGCTCCCATGAAAACCCTGTACTGTGCTGTTGATATTTTTGCATGTGCTCATCCAAGCATGTAAATGGGGAAAGAATGTGTCCCCCAAAGAATATAAATTTGAAATGCCTGGAGGACTTCTGCTTCTACTGTAAAAATAGGTTTCACCTTGTGATGAACAGTCATAGAGGAATCCATTCATTTCAAAAAGCATACACGTGCATATCATGCGTGTTTTATATTCATGTCTGCATATATGTCTGTATATATATGGATGTGTGTGTATGTACTCATATATATCTCCCAAGAGACCTCAGTCAGGATATTTTTTTAGTAAACTCGAACGTGTTTTGATGTATTTGAACTTACTTCCTGAACTAGTTCAGAGGACCGTGCTTGTTTGTTTGTTTGCCAGATATTTTTATGCATTTTGAGAGTTAGGAATACAGTGCTCCTCCAGTGGAGCAATTTGAGCAAAACCAATCCCTGCCTGATCAATTCTAACACTGCAGAATGTCCTTTCATATTAGTGTGGGCATCCGCATTCTTGCAGAGCCTAGCCACTAACAATGCAAACTTTGAGATGAAGGAGAACTAGGCATTTGGGTTTCTATGGAGATACATTTTGCTCTATAGAGCCATGGTTTGGTAAGTGAAATTGAAACGGTTATTATCTGAAGACAGCAATGCGCACTCGGATGTGGGGGATGCACAGGCGGCAAGTGTTCCAACCATTGCTGAAAGATCTTTTTTTTTTCTTTTCTGCTGAATATGTTCTGAAGTACAATGTACAGGTGGATGGAGGGATGCTGCGAAGGACAGTTAACAGTATCTTTCTTGCTTATTTATATAGGTTGTTGTGCTGAGCTCAGTTAGTGATTTGCTGAAATACATTGATGGCAAGCAATTAACCCCTGAGTTAGGGGGCACCTTGCAGTACAGCCACAGAGAATGGATCATCTTCAGAAATGTATGTTGCTTTTGTCCTTCCTGGAGAGCCTTTTCCTTCCTATTAGCCTTGCAATTGACTTGGAGAGTTGTTTTCCTCTTTGCAAAATGAAGCCAAACCAGGGTTCTGGGGCTGTGACTTTTCAAACGCACAGATCATGCACATCTTGGTTTTGTTCCACAGGAAATCCCTCGAAAGGAAGAGTCACGGAGGGTGCCAATTGAGGGCTAGGGTGCCCAGATGTCTCCACCCCTCTTGGGGCCCTGTAGTAACCCCGTAGTAAGCCAAGTTCGGAGGAAGTTGGGCTCCAATTCTGACACTGTTGGTTTTTACCTGAATGGCCTTGGACAAGAGAGATAACTTCTCAAGTCTTAGTTTTCCCAAATCTAAACTAGGAATAAGAGGGCCTTACCTCTTAGGGCACCTGGGAAGATGAAATGTGACCACAAATGGACAATGTTTGGCAAAGGCCAGCCCTTAGGAGCCCAGTGAGGAAGAGCAACACGAGGTGTGGGGAAATCTCTTTCAGTGGTGCCCTCTCCCAAGGTCAAGACATGGATGCTGATGAATGCATTAACAGAAATGCGCCCCTCCACCATCCAGCTGCCTCTGTCAGATGCTTTTCATCTTTGTGCTACATCAGAATGTCATTCTGCATCTCGTCTGTTGCCCCCTTAGATTTGTGCCCTGCTGCAGCAAGTGCCCCTCTCTAAACGCCCACCCCCCACCCCCTCTCCCATTGACCTCTGGATATCCACCATGCTTGAGGAAGCAAACAGGAAACTAGGGTCAATAGAAATTTCTCAGTGTCTCCCCCTGCATGTGCACCTGGCACATGCCATACCTTAGATAATGCTGTTAGATGGCATGTAGGAAACCCTCAGTGTCATCCTTCTCACGGTGCTTTGAGGCCATCACATTTGGAGCAAAGGGTTCTTCTATTCTAGACAGTTACAGAGAGGGGGAGGCCAGGTGCCTCACAGGTGTGAATATGGGGGACAGAATCTTGACTTTGAATGCCACCCGAGAGATGAAGGCCCATTGCAGGCATTCATGATGTAACTCAGGGTTCTTTGTGATCCCTAACCCCCTCGTACAACATTACTGTTCATTCCCATGAATGGTTCCTGTACACACCTAGCAGAGTCTGGTCTTAATAAAGGAGCTGTGCTCATGTTAAGGTTAAGTTCTCAGCTGATCATTAAAAGCTTGGTGGTTCAAACCCACCCAGTAGCTTCATGGAAACAAGACCTGGTAATCTGCTTTCAGAAATCTTAGTTTTGAAACCTCCCAATGGACCAGTTCTATGTCACCTGGGGTCGCCATGGGTCAGAACTGACTCCCCAGCACCCAACAACAACAGCAGCCACTAGTCTCTAATCACCTGTACAGCTGCATGGTATACAGAAAGCAGCTATGGTATTTGAAATTGGCCCTTCTTCCTGACAGCCATTGATTTGGAAACACAGGAAGCAGTAAAACTTTGCTTGACATTTCAAGGCAATAGAGCCTCAGTGACCAGGATTTCCAATCGGCAGTACCGCAAAGCAATTGTTCGGGACTAGCTATTCCCTGTAGCTTTAGAACAGCACCTTGTTTGGAAGGCCCAGGTTTGTTGATCAATGAGACCACACCAATGTAAAGTGGCGTTGATGTTCTCACAACTCCTCAGAATACAGTTGTTATAAAGGACCAATTGCACAGCTTCACAGAAGAAGGAAAGCACTGTGTTTCTTCAGGGCATAAAACAAAGGACTCAGGTTCATCCATGTCCATGATTTCAGTCCAGAGTTTTAGCTCAAAGGCACTCGGGAAAGACTCTAACCCTCACTTTAGTTTCTCCGAGGCTTAGATGCAAAGTGAATGTTGACTGCCAAGGGCAACGCCCAAGTTCCTTAGCACAGGAGAGGTGATAGTATATGTGTTTGTTGTCATACCTAACTAAGTAAATGCAATGACTATGCCAGGATTTGATATGTTGGCAGAGTTACCATATCATTAAATGGGTCACCGGCTCTTTGCAGGCTATAGAAAATTTTGCCGTCACAGTGAAGGAAATGGCGCAGATGTTACAGTCCTTTGGGACCGAATTGGCTGAAACAGAACTGCCAGATGATATTCCTGGAGTAGAAGAACTTCTTGCCATCCGCGCTGAGAGGTACCACGTCCTGAAGGTAAGTCTGCTGAGAGCGGACCAGCAAGTGTGTTCCACGAGCTTTTTCATACGTATTCGAGCGTCCATTCCACATTGCGTCCTTTACAGGGAGGAGATATATATTTCTATATTACAAAGCAAACGATGAAAAAGAAATCAGAATACTTTACAAGAGGAAATTATCCTGGAAAGATTGGGTCCAAATGCCCTCTTTGGCCCTGATGCATTCTCTTGAGGAGTTGTTTATCTGTAAACAGGGCTTATGGAAAGACCCTCATTTCAAAGCAAGAGTGAGAACCAGGAATCAGACAGGTGTCCTATTTGGGTCACCATCACAGGTAGCGTGGGAAGTTGGAGGGGGTGAGGCGTTGATGGGAAAACCACGAGGCCTCAGCTCTCATCCCAGCTCAGCCATGCCCTGGCTTTGTGAGTGCAAGCAGTGCTCAATTGGTTTCCAGTTCTCTTTCCCGCAGGATATCCATTCTCATTGTCTGTTTGTTTGTTTGTTTGTTTACAATAGATCAGGGATTGTTCTCTGGCCAGGTCCTGTGGGGAGTGTGGGATTGTGAAGGATTCTGAGGGACGATTGAGACAAGCAGCGGGCACCTTTGTTTCCACCTCCCTCAAGTGTTAGTGATATGAACAAGCACCAGGGATCTATAGAGAACACTTCTCCTTCAGATGACAACAGGCATCCTGAGTGCACTAGGAGGAGATTCAAGTTCTATGAAGTCGTAACACTTTCACATTAAGAAGAGAGACAGTGACACTTTAAAACACCATCTCAGAGCACGAGACAGTGACACTTTAAAACACCATCTCAGAGCACAACTGTCCAACGAAGGGAAGCTCGGCCTCCCACCAGCTGTGTGATGCTGAGAAATGTGCTTATGCTCTCTGCGTTTCATTTCCTGACCTTTACAATGAACTTAGGTCCTGGTCCTTGTCAGGTGCCACTGAGTTGGTTCCGATTTATAGAGGTCCATCGTACAACAGAAGGAAACAGTGCCTGGGCCATCCTAACAATTGTTCTTACATTTGAGCCCCTTGTTGAAGCCACTGTGTCCGTCCATCTCATTGAGGGCCTTCCTCTTTTGTCACTGCCCCTCCACTTTCCCAAACATGACATCCTTCTCCAGCGACTGGTCTCTCCTGAGCATATGTCCGAAGTACGTGAGACGAAGTCTTTCCCAGAAAACCGTATGGAGCAGACCTACATGGGGTTGCCATGAGTCAGAACCAATACCAAGGCAACAACTCGTTTGGTTTGTTTGTATACAAAGAGAAGTTGATGGTGCTGATGCTGCATGCACGCCTTGTAGGGTTGTGAAGATGAAATGAAGAAAAATATATGATGTAGGTACAACAATGCTTCATACATCATTGGTGCTTAACAAATATGGACTCTTCATGTCCTTACTCATGTCTAATTTATCATAGAACCTTTTTCCTGAAAAGTATTTTGTTGGTGTTGTCAGGTGCCAATCACGTTGGCCCAACTCACGGCGGCGACTCCATGCACAACAGGACACACTTGCCGGTCCCACGCCATCCTCACAATGGTTGGTCTTTGAGTCCATTGTTGCAGCCATTGCACCAACCCATCTGACTGAGGACCTCCCTCTTTTCCACTGACCTTCTTTACACCGAGTATGATGTCTGTCTCCAGGGACTGGGCCCTCTTCAGAACGTGGCTCAAGTACAGGAGCCCAATGCTTCCAAGGAGCATTCTGGCTGTACTCCTCCAAGACAGACTTATGGGTTCTTTCGGCAGTCTGTGGTCCTTTCCGTTTCTTCACCAGCATCATGAGCAAATGCATCAATTCTTCCATGGTCTGCTCTTTGAGTTGTGCAGCTTTTACAGGCAGAGCAGGGGAGGGGAAATCCTATGGCAGGGTTAAGGCACATCAGAGGCCTTGAGGTGACATCTTTACTCTTTATCCCTTTAAAGAAATCGGCCCAGTGCAATCTAGCTTTTGATTTCTTCACTGTGCTTGCCGTGAATATTGATGATGGATTAGGCTGAAAAATGCATGCACACCCAATTTGTTGCTTAGAATTTCAGGGGGCCAGAAGACCTTGCCATTGATGCCTGCAGGGCATTATGATCCACAGAGCACTCTCCAAGGTTAAGAGTTTCTGAAGAGAGGTCGATGCTTCATTTTGAATCGGCAAAACCCAAGTATGTCGTAAAATAAGAATGAGGGCAGGCAGTGATGGGTAACAATTAAGGATTGATAGGTAAGGTACCAAACGCTGTCAGAATATCCATCACTAATGATGTGTGTGCAGAGGGAGAAGTGTTGGGCCGTTAACTGCAAGGTCGGTACTTCAAGCCACTCTGTGGGAGGCAGATGCTGCTGCCTGCTCCAGTGAAGAGTTATTCTTGGAGAAACCCACAAAGGCCACTTTTCTTTGGCCTGCAGAGGTGCCAGGAATGGGAATGCACTTGATGGTGGTGGGTTCCGTTTGGATTTCATTTCTACAGTGCGCCAGTCTTTATTGTGGTCCCGCTACTTGAATTTAAAACGTTACCAGAGGACAAGCGAAGAGACGACAAGTTTCTCTGAGTGTGAGAAGACATGCTATGAATGAAACACCGAGTGTGCGCCACCCATCTCTCACCATGGACGGTCTCCTTGGCGAACCTCATGAGCTTTGGACTCTGTGGTGCCCGAGGTCTTACCTAATTCTTCAGACAGAAGACCAAAGGCCATTCTAGAACGTGTGTTCCTTCTGTGTATGCAATAGGTGTGTGCTTCCTTCTCTTTAGTGCAGCGAGGTTCGATTTCTAATGCCCGGTGCTTCCTCTTGTGTATTTGTACAGAATGATATTACAGCTGTGACCAATGAAGGAACAATTTTGCTGACCAATCTGGAAGGACCTGGCCCACAAGAAGCTGTCAGATCCAGAAGACTTGAACGTCGCCATCAAATAAGTAGTGAATGGCAAACCATTCAGAAGTGAGTGCTCTCAGTTTGCTTTCCGGGCGCCATCTTTAATGATTCTGAAGGGGAATCGCCCATTCTTGCGGTAGTGTGTGACGTGTAAACATTATTTGGACATCTGGGATGCGAAGACTCCATCTCTGAGTTGTGTTCCACTGACATAGTTTTGTTTGTGGAAGAGGATTTGTGGGCATTGATGGAGTGGGTGGGGCCTGAACAAGTATCACAGGCTTTGACTTGATCTATAATTCTGAATGGATAAAGCAGGTGTGTTTACACACCTATGACACAAATCATTTTTAAAAGATGTCCTTTGACTCATGTTGTTAAGGTTGCTGACTCAGGTACATGACATGGAAAGTGCCTTTGATGGATTTTGGGAAAAACACAAACAAAAAATGGAGCAGTACCTTCAACTTTGGAAGTTTGAACAGGATTTTCAAAAGGTAAGGTGAAATGAAACATCTATCAGGAACTGATATATCCAGATTGTATTGTTTTCTGACCCATTTGAGAATGAGCTGTATACATGATGGCCCCTAAATACATCAGTATCTCTAATAATAGATCTCTAAGAATAGGGACTTTTATTTTACATAGCCACAGTGCATTTCTCATATTCAAACCATGTAACATCGATGCACAACTTTCAAAAATAAGTATATAACATCAGCATTTCAATTTAGTGAATTGATTCAGTTGATGGGCTTTAGAATATTTTCCCTCAACAGTTTTATTGGCACGTAGTGTACATATCATACAATTTAATAGTTCAATTGTTCAGTCATATCAAAAGAGAATTGTACAATCATGACCACAAACATTTTAGAGCATCCCCCCCCTCCCCACACCATGGTTAGATCACCTTTAAAATGAGTTATGCAATCGCAATCTATTCTAGTGCTCCCCCCTGCCTTTGCTATTTACTCCTGAAAAGAGCATTTCTTTTTCCTCTAGTACAGAAATTTGTCTGGTGGTGTTGTCACACTGCCAATCCCAGGGTCAGCAGTTCAGACTCCCAAAGCTGCTCCGTGGGAGAAAGATGAGGTTGTCCGCTCCTGTGAAGGCTTACAGCAGTGGTCCTCAGCCTTCCTCATGCCGCCACCCTTCCATACACTTCCTCATGTGGTGGTGACCCCCAACCATAATATAATTTCCGTTGCCACTTCATCACTGTCATTTTGCTACTGTTATGAATTGTCATGTAAATATATCTGATAGGCAGGATGTATTTTTATTGCTATAAATTGAACATAATTAAACATAATTAAAACATAGTGATTAATTGCAAAATAATATGTGATTATATATTGTGAAATATTTATTCGTTTTCCGATGGTCTTAGGCAACCCCTGTGAAAAGGTCGTTTGACCCCCAAAGGGGTCGTGACCTACAGGTTGAGAACCACTGGCTTACAGCCTCGGAAGCCCATGTAGGCTCCCTGGGAGGGAGTCAGAATTGACTGGACGACAGTGGGGTCAGATGTTTTTTTCTGTTTGTTTGGGGACGGGACCCAGTCTAGGCTTTTGGCCTTGAACGTTTCTACAGTGTCTCTCAGTCTCTCTCTCTCTCTCTCTCTCTCTCTATGCTATTGACATCGTTGAAGAATAGAGCACTTTTTCAGACCCAGTTGTTTTCGTGTTGGGCTTGTATGAATCTTCTCGTGGGCAGGCTTAGCGTGTGTGTGAACAGCTAGAATCATGTGTTCATTTGTTTCTACATGGTAGGTGTTGAATTGGATGACCCAGTCAAGCATAATTGAATAGAGCTCCTCCTTATTTCCCCTCGGGACTAATAGGTCATGCAAATATCTTGCTCCACATCAAATGTCCCCCCCCCC